TAGGTTGTCTTTTTACTCTTTTGGTGAAGTCTTTTGATGAGCATAAGTGTTTGATTTTTAGGAGCTCCCAGTTATCTAGTTTCTCTTCTGGTGTTTGCATTGTTACTTATGGTATGCATACTATTTATGCCATGTGTTAGGGCTCCTAGCGTTGTCCCTATTTTTTCTCCAATGATCTTTATGGTTTTCGATTTTATATTTAGGTCTTTAATCCATTTTGGTTAGTTTTTGTACATGGTGTGAGGTATGGGTCTTGTTTCATTTTTTTGCAGATGGATATCCAGTTATGCCAGTATCATTTGTTAAAGAAACTGTCTTTTCCCTCATTTAACAGACTTTGGGCCTTTGTCAAATATCAGCTGCTCATAGGTGGATGGATTTATGTCTGGGTCCTCAATTCTGGTCCATTGGTCTATGTATCTGTTGTTGTAACAAGTACCAGGCTGTTTTGGCTCCTGTGGTGGTATAATAGGTTCTAAAATCAGGTAGTGTGAGGCCTCCCACTTTGTTCATCCTCTTCAATAATGCTTTACTTATCCGGAGGCTCTTCCTTTTCCATATGAAGTTGGTGATTTGTTTCTCTATCTCATTAAAAAATGCCTTGGAATTTGGGTTGGAATTGCATTGTATCTGTAGATCGTTTTGGGTAGAATTGACATATTCACAATGTTGAGTTTTCCTGTCCATGAGCATGGCATGTTTTTCCACTTACGTAGGTCTCTTTCGGTTTCTTTCAGAAATGTTTTGTGGTTTTCTTTGTATAGATCTTTTACATCTCTGTTTAGATTTATTCCTAGCTACTTTATGTTCTTGGGGGCTATTGTAAATGGTATTGATTTGGTGATTTCCTTTTTGAGGTACTCTTTGTTGGTGTAGAGGAATCTAACTGATTTTTGTATGTTTAGCTTGTATCCTGATACTTTGCTGAAATCTTCTGTTGGTTCCAATAGCTTTCTTGTGGATTCTTTGGAGTTTTCTGTGTGTAAAATCATATCATCTGTGAATAGGGATATTTTTACTTCTTCCTTACCTATTTGGATGCCCTTTATTTCCTTTTCTTGCCTTATTGCTCTGGTTAGGACCTCCAGCACAACGTTGAATAAGAGTGGTGATAAAGGGCATCCTTGTTTGGTTCCTGTTCTCAAGGGGAATACTTTCAGTCTCTCTCCATTTAGAATGATGTTGACTGTTGGCTTTGTATAAATGCCCTTTTTTGGATTGAGGAATTTCCCTTCTATTTGTATTTTGTTGAGAGTTTTTATCATGAATGGGTGTTGGACTTTGTCAAATGACTTTTCTACATCAATTGATGAGATCATGTAGTTCTTGTCTTTTGTTTTATTTATGTGATGGATTACATTGATTGATTTCCTAGTGTTGAACCATCCCTGCATACCTGCTATGGATCCCACTTGGTCATGATGAATTACTTTTTTGATATGATGTTGAATTCTACTGGCTAGAATTTTGTTGAGGATTTTGCGTCTATGTTCATGAGGGATATTGGTATGTAATTTTCCTTTTTTGTGATGTCTTTACCTGGCTTTGGTATCAGGGTTATGCTGGCTTCATAGAATGAGTTTGGGAGTATTCCTTCCTTTTCTATGTGCTGAAATACCTTTAGTGGTACTGATGTTAACTCTTCTATGAAAGTTTGGTAGAATTCTACAGTGATGCTTTCCTGGCCAGGGCTTTTTTGTTGTTGTTGTTCGGAGTTTTTTTTTTTAAATTACTTCCTCGATCTCTTCTTTTGTTATGAGTTTATTTAGGTTTTTTACCTTGGTTTGTGTTAGTTTAGGTAGGTAGTGTGTTTCTAGAAATTTGTTAATTTCCTCTAGGTTTTCAAATTTGTTGGAGTACAATTTTTCATAGTATTCTGTTATGATCGTTTTTATTTAAGTTGGATCTGTTGTGATATCGCCCATCTCATTTCTTATTCAGGTTATTTGCTTCCTCTCCTGTTCTTCTTTTGTCAGTTTGGCCAGTGGTTTTTCGATTTTGTTGATCTTCTCAAAGAATCAATTTTTGGTCTTGTTAACTCTTTCAATTGTTCTTCTATTCTCTATTTCATTTATTTCTGCTCTAATCTTGATTATTTCCTTTCTTCTCGTGCCCGAGAACTTCTTTTGCTGCTCTCTTTCTATTTGTTTGAGTTGTAGGGTTAATGTTTTGATTTTGATCCTTTCTTCTGTTTGGATGTGTGCATTTATTGCTATAAACTGACTCTAAGCACTGTTTTTGCTGTGTCCCAAAGGTTCTGGTAAGATGTGTTTTCATTCTCATTTGATTCCATGAATTTCTTTATTCTGTCCTTGATTTCTTCTATAACCAGTAGTTTTTGAGCAAGATGTTGTTCAGTTTCCATGTATTTGAGTTTTCTTCCTTGCTTTTTTTGTTATTGGTTTCTACTTTTATGGCTTTATGATCAGAAAAGATGCTTTGTAGTATTTCAATGTTTTGGATTCTGTTAAGGCTTGCTTTGTGACCTAAAATGTGGTCTACTCTGGAGAATGTTCCATGTGCATTGGAAAAGAATGTATACTTGGCTGCTGTTGGGTGGAGTGTTCTGTATATATCTATTAGGTGTCTTTATTTTCTTTCTAGATGTTCTGTCCTTCACTGAAAGTAGTGTGTTGAAGCCTCCTACTATTATTATGGAGCTATCTATTTCTCTTTTCAATGCTGCTAGAGTCTGTGTTATGTATTTTGGAGCCCTGTCATTGGGTGCGTATATATTTATTATGGTTATGTCCTCCTGGTGTATTGATCCTTTAATCATTATGTAGTGTCCTTCCTTATCCTTTGTGGTGGATTTTGTTTTAAAGCCTATTTTGTCAGAGATTAATGTTGTCACTCCTGCTCTTTTTTGATTGTTGTTTGCTTAATATATTTTTTTCCATCCTTTGAGTTTTAGTTTGTTTGTGTTTTTGAGTCTTAAGGTGTGTCTCTTGTAGGCAGCATATAGATGGATCGTCTTTTTTATTTAATCCATTCTGCCACTGTCTGTCTCTTTATTGGTACACTTAGTCCTTTTACATTCTGTGTAATTATTGATAGTTATGAGTTTACTGCTGTCATTTTGATGTATTTTTTTTGTGGTATTGACAGTTTCTTTGTTCCAATTAATTTTCTGTGCTGAGTCATTTTTCTTTATGTGTTTTCTTTTCATCTTCTTCATTGTTGTTGATTTTGTGTTTGCTGAGTCTTTATGTTTTTTTCTTTTTTCTTTTGATGGGTAGATTTGTTATCTTCCTTTGTCATTATCTTAAAATATACTTTCATTTTTCTAAGTTTAAACTCATCTTTTATTTCTTAATATTGCCTTAACTTCCTCTTTTTTGTTTTGAGGTTGTCATCATTTGCATATTGACGTCTCTGTTTCCCTAGTTTCAATCTTTTAGCTTTGACTTGTTTTTGCAACTTCCCTATCTGAGTTGATATCTGGTCTTTCTGTCCTGTGTTCTAGTCTTGGGTTGTTGTCTGATAGTGTTGGTTCTCTAACTGGAGGACTCCCTTTAATATGTCTTGTAATTCTGGTTTGGTTTTTACAAATTCCCTTAACTTCTGTTTATCTGGAAATGCCCTAATTTCATCATCATATTTGAGAGACAGTTTTGCTGGATATATAATTCTTGGCTGGAAATTTTTTCCTTCAAGGATTTATGCATGTCATCCTATTGCCTCCTTGCCTGCATGGTTTCTGCTGAGTAGTCAGAGGTTAGCCTTATTGGTTCTTCTTTGTAGGTGACTTTTTGCTTATCCCTAGCCACTCCCAAGATTCTATCTTTGTCTTTGGTTTTGGCAAGCTTGATTATACTATGTCTTGGTGACTTTCTTTTGGGATCTACTCTGTGTGGAGTTTGCTGAGCTTCTTCGATAGACATCTTCTCATCTTTCATGATATCAGGGAAGTTTTCTGCCAGCAAATCTTCAACAATTCTCTCTGTGTTTTCTGTTATTCCCCACCCCCCCGTTCTGGTACTACAATCACTCATAGGTTTTTCCTCTTGATAGTGTCCTACATAATTCTTAGGCTTTCTTCATTTTTTTTCATTCTTTTTTTCTGATTTTTCCTCAAATAAATTGGTGTCAAGGGATTTATCTTCAATCTCACTAATTCTGACTTCCATTGTCTCAATTCTGCTCCCATGATCTTCTATTGAGTTGTCTAATTCTGAACTTTTATTGTAACCTTTTGGATTTCTAGTAGCTGTCTTTCTATTGTTTCTAGCAGCCTGTTAAATTTGTTGTTCTGTTCTTGTCTTGTTTTCCTGAATTCCTCTATAGCTTTGTCTGTGTGTTCCTTGACTTGGTCTGAGTGTTGCCTGATCTCTTGGAGAGCTCTGTATATTAATCTTTTGAATTTTAGCTCAGGTAATTCCATGACCTTATCTTTCTCCAGAAGGTTTCCTGGTTGTTTATTTTGGTCACTTACTGGAGCCATCTTGCCCAGCTTCTTTATGTGATTTGATATTGACTTTTTATCAGAACCATCAATAAGTTATTATATTTATTTATTATATGTTTGTTTACTGTGTCCTAGCTTTTTGTTTTGTTTTGATATGCCCAAGTAGGCTGGGTGTGTAAGCTACTTTGGTTATTGGCGTATTTGAAGCTATCACTACCAATCTCCAGGTGGTTAGAGCAGCTTCTAGGTGTGTGAGCCCAGGAGTCTATTCACTTTTCTTGTGTGGGTACAGCACAGGTGTCCAGGTCATCAGTCACCACTTGTGTGGTGCAGACTCTCACCTACAGTCCTAGGCAGGCTGGGCTGTGTAGGAGTGTTTGGAGCAGGCACAGGTATCTGGCTGCAGTAGGGAGCTATGTTCAGAGCAAGGCTGGGGGCTGACGGCTGCCCCTGGGTGCCTGGGTGGGGGTGTGTGTCCCTGTCCCCTAGAGCTCGTAGGGGGTGGGTATTGCAGCTGGTCCTTGGGCACTTGATGCTGTTGGCTGGAGGGACTTGGAGGCAACACTTATTCTTAGACCCCTGTTGTGAGTGGCTAGATAGAGTGGGTACTACCACCAGACCTCAGGCCCCTGATGTGAGTGGGTGAGGTCCCTGCTTAATGGGCCAAAACCCACTGCCATCGAGTCGATTCTGACTCATAGCAATCCTATTGGACAGAGTAGAACTGCCACCTAGGGTTTCCAAGGAGTGCCTTGTGGATTCGAACTGCCAACCTTTTGGTTAGCAGCCGTAGCTCTTAACCACTATGCCACCAGGGTTTCTGCTTAATAGGTAGGGTGTTGTTAAATGTCACAAATCTGCAACTCCTCCTTGGCTGCTGCAGTTGAAAATAGGCTTCAAGTGTATGCCCTGTTGTTTTATGCTAGTGAAGGCATGCAGGGTTGAATAGGTCCACACAGGTCTAGGATGGGGTGAAGGGCACTGCAAGTCCTTGGACCCCTTATAACAGTTCCTAGGCAAAAAGGCAGGGCCTCCTGACCTGGCCTGAGTTCCTGGTTTAGAGGGCATGGTGTTTTTTAAAGCTATGAGACTGGTTTGGGCTCGGATAGCCCTGAGTTCTGGCTTGGGGGGCGTCACAGTTGTTGAATACTGCCAAAATGGTGTTGGAGAGAAGTGGGGTGGGGGGATGGGTGAGGGGAAAGAGGCACTTCTCCACTGTGAAACTCCCGAAGTGGGAGGGGTTATTTTGTCCCCACAGGGTAGGTTAGACGTTTCCACTTAACTTTCACAGGTTCAGCACAACTTCTACCTGGCTCCAGAGGCTTGTGCAGACTTGCTGCCACCTGGCCTCAACTGATGTGGTGAGATGTGTCCCCAAAGCTACTGCTCACCTCAGCCCACGTGTGCCAGCTGACCCAGCCAGCAGCATGCTGGCAACCTCTGGACTGGCATTTCTCTGCTGCTTTTCAATTGTCTCCCCTTCTTTGTGCCACTCAGTCTGACTCTTCAGCTTTGTCTTTGATGATCAAGGCCCCTAGATTGTCATATATAATCAATTCACTTGTTTTTTTGGATCTTTGTTTTAAGAGGGACGACAGAAAGCATCTGACTATTCTGCCATCCTAGCCCTGCCTCCTGTGTTTAGCACTTTTGTCTCCCATTTAAGAAGTCTTTGCCTACCAAAGTTTTAAAGATAGTGTCTATGTTATCTTCTAGAAGCTTATGCTATATCTTTGACACTTAAATCTATAATCTATAGATTTAAATTCCTTTGTCTTCTGGCTTCTATTTTTTCCATTGGGAAGTCAGCTATCAGTCTTACTGTAGCTCTTTGAAGGCAATATGCATTTTTTTCCCATCAGATTTTAAGACTTTCTCTTTACTTTGTTTTTCAGCTAAATCAAAACTATGTTATATCTAGGCATTGTTTTACTGTGATGTGCCTAACTATGGTTTTCACTGGGCTCTGAGGGCTTCTTCAATCTGTGGCTTGATCTCTTTCATCAGTTTTGGTAATTCTTAGCCATTTCCCTTCCTTTGCTCTTTTCTCTCTTTCTTGTCCTTCTGGGTACCCAAGTACACATATGTTTGTTATTTTCACCATATGTCATATGTCACATTCACTCTTTTTCATACATATATTTTTTATTCCTCTCCCTGCTTCAGTCTGGATATTTTCTGCTAACATATCTTCTAGTTCAATCAACCCCTCTTTACCTAGGCCCAATATTTTCTAAATGCTAATTATTTTATTTCAGTTATTGTATGTTTTAATTCTAGAATTTTGATTTGTTTCCTTTTTATAGATTCTAATTCACCGGCGAAGTTAACCATTTTTCTTCTATTTTACCGAACAACTAAATTTAAGTCATTTAAAAGTCTACATCTAATAACTCAAATATCAGGATCACCTGTTGGCCTATTCCTATTGTCTATTTTTTCCTTGGTATGTGTTATGGATTGAATTATGTCCCCCCAAAATATGTGTTGTACTTGCTAACCTTTATGCCTATGGTTATAATCCCATTTGAGAATGGGTTGCCTTTGTTATATTAATGAGACAGAATTAGTGAAGGGTATGTCTTAAATTAATCTGTTTTGAGACATAAAAAGGGATTAAACAAGGAAGCAAGAGAAGCAGAGATGGGGGAAGACTGATGCCAAGCTACATGGAGATCTCCAAGGAATCAGAAAACAGAAGCTGAAGAGACAAGGACCTTTCCCCCAGAGCTAATAGAGAGAGAAAGCCTTACCCTAGAGCAAGCACCCTGAATTTGGACTGCTAGCCTCCTAAACTATGAGAAAATAAATTTTTGTTTATTAAAGCCATCCACTTGTAGTATTTCTGTTAAGGCAGCACTAGATAACTAAAACAGAATTTGGTACTGGAGGAATGAGGTGCTGCTCTAACTAATACCTAGAATGTGGAAGTGGTTTCAGAATTGGGTAAAGAGTAGAGGCTGGAAGAGTTTTAAGGTGCCTAATAGTAAAAGCCTAGACTGTCTTGAAGAGACTGTTGGTAGAAGGATGTCAAAGGAAATTCTGGTGAGGGCTCAGAAGGAAATGAAGAGAGAGATAGAGAAGGTCTCTGTTGTCTTACAGAATATATATGGCACCAGCAACATAATGTTGCTAGAAATGTGGACATTAAATGTGCTTCTGGTGAAGCTTTAAAAGAAATGATGAACGTGTGATTGGACAATGGAGGAAGGGTGACGCTTTTGTATATAGTGGCAAAGAACTTGTCTGAATTATGGTCAAATGTTTGGTGGAAGGTAGAACTTGTAAGTGATGAACTTGGATATCTGGCTGAGGAGATTCCCAAGCAAGATCTTAAAGGGGTTATGTGGTTTCTCCTTACACTTATAGCAAACTGTAAGAGGAAGGAGAAGGACCTAAAAGTGAACTGTGCAAAATGAAAATAAAACTTAAAGATTTGGAAAGGTCTGTTGTACAAACTAAGGACACGTGCGCTAGAATGTTTACCAAGGATGCGGCTACACAATCTTTTGTTAAAGAGATTAAGCCTGTGACTGATGGATCTAACCAACTGCCACAGCAGAAAACCCATCAGCTTAGACTGAAGGGGACAGAGAAAGAATGAAAGAAGAGAATGCTGTCTGTTTCTTGGAATTCTATAGGCAGAAAACAGGCCAAAGGAGCTACATTTGTTGTCCTCCAAGAAAAGAAAAAGACCATCCCTGGAGCAGCCTGAAGATCAGAAGAACTGTTGAAAGGAGAATGGGAAACAGGACTTTCTCAGTCTCGAAGGGTAGAGCCACAGCCTCCTAGGTTTCAGTTAGATCTTCACCAACTGGGTTCTATAGTATGAGGCTACCATTCAATTTGGCCAAGAGGATGGGGCCACTGGCCAAAGCTTAGGGGGCCGGACTGCCATGTCCAAGGGGCAGAAGAATGGGGCCTGCCAGGACCGAGGAGGGGGGTCACCACTCAGATGAACTAGGAGAATGGGCCTGCCCAAATCCAAGGGAGCAGAGTTGCCATCTCAGGGAGCCTGGAAGGCAGAGCTGAAGCTTAGAGTGGAGGGGCCTCCACCCAGAATCCAGAGTTCATGGCCAATACCCAGAGTCTGGAGGGCAGGGCCATAGTCCAAAGAATAGAGAATTATTTTCAAGCCTTGAGAGCTAACGTAGTTTGTTCTACTGGGTTTTAGACTCGCTTGGTGTCCGTCATCCCTTCTTTCCCTCCAATTTCTCCCACTTGTAATGGAGAAGGTGCTTCTTCCACCTTTGTGTTTTGGAAACAGATAACTTGTAGTCTAGATTTCACAGGTTCACAGATGAAGAGGAATTTTGCCCCAGGATGGACTACACCAAAATTCTCACCCATATTTGATTTAGATTATTCAGAAGATGAGATTTTGCATTTGGTGTTGATTTAAGACTTTTGGAATGATGTGATGGAGTAAATGTGTTTTGTAAGTGGGAAGTGGATTTTGGGAGCCAAAGTGTGGAATGTTATAGATTGAATTATGTCCCCCCAAAATATATGTTGTGCTTGCTAACCTCTGTGACTGTGGTTATAATCCCATTTGGGAATGGGTTGTCTTTGTTATGTTATGAGACAGGATTAGTGTAGTATGTGTCTTAAATCAATCTTTTTTGAGACATCAAAAGGGATTAAACAAGCAAGCTAGAGAAGTAGAGATGGGGGAAAATTAATCCCAAACCACATGGAGATCTCCAAGGAATCAGAAAACAGAAGCTGAAGAGACAAGGACTTTCTCCCAGAGTTGACAGAGACAGAAAGCCTTCCCCTGGAGCTGGTGCCCTGAATTTGGACTTCTATCCTCCTAAACTGTGAGAAAATAAATTTCTATTTGTTAAAGCCATCTACTTCTGTTATATAGCAAAGATAACTAAGACAGTATGTCTAGATAATTTTGTTAGAAATCTGGAAACTGTGTATGGAAAATTGTAAATGCTCTGGATAATATTTTCTTCCTCTGGGATGATTTATTTTAACCAGTGGCAAGTATTAAATTGAGGAAGGTTAGCTTAATCCAATTAGAGATCAAAACGATTTGAAAGTAGGTTTCAGTCTTTTTAAGTCCTGGCTTATTTTGAGTTTATCTTACAGCTAGGGTACAGTCATTCAATGGTCTTAATTGAAATCCCTGCATAAGCCCTGGATTTTGAGGCCCACATCTTCAGTTTTTCTCCCCCTAGCATAATTAGACCACCAGTTGGAACAAAGAAGAAGAATCAGTAGTTGGAAAATAAGGCCTTGGTAATAGAAACAACACTGGAGATCACATGATAGACTTTTGCAAGACTAACGACTTATTCATTGCAAATAGCTTTTTTCAACAACATAAATGGTGAGTATACATGTGGACCTCAACAGATGGAATACACAGGAATCAAATCGACTACATCTGTGGAAAGGGACAATGGGGAAGCTAAATATCATCAGTCAGAACAAGGCCAGGAGCCAACTGCCAAACAGACTATCAATTGCTCATGTGCAAGCTTAAGTTGAAGCTGAAGAAAATTAAAACAAGTCCATGAGAGCCAAAGCACGACCTTGAGTATCTCACCTGAATTTAGAGACCATCACAGGAACAGATTTGACTCACTGAACACTAATGACCAAAGAACAGATGAGTTGTAGGATGACATCCAGGACATCACACATGAAGAAAGCAAAAGGTCATTAAAAAGACAGGTAAGAAAGAAAAGACCAAAGTGGCTGTCAGAAGAGACTCTGAAACTTGCTCTTGAATGGAAGAAATGATAAAGTAAAAGAACTGAATGGAAAATTTCAAAGGGAGACTCCAGAAGATGAAAGTATTATAATGAAATGTGCAAAGACTTGGACTTAGAAAACCAAAAATGAAAAACACTCTCAGAGTTTCTTAAGCTGAAAGAACTAAAGAAAAAATTCAAGCCTCGAGTTGCAATATTGAAGGATTCTATGAGCAAAATATTGAATGATGCAGGAAGCATTAAAAGAAGATGGAAGGAATACACAGAATCACTGTACCAAAAAGAATTGGTTGACATTCATCCATTTCAGGAGGTAGCATATGATCAAGAACTAATGGTACTGAAGGAAGAAGTCCAAGCTGCAATGAAGGAATTGGAGGAAAACAAGGCTCCAGGAATTGATGGAATTGAGATGCTTCAACAAACAGATGCAACACTGGAAGCGCTCACTTGTCTATGCCAAGAAATTTGGAAGACAGCTACCTGGCCAACCTGAGGAAAGAGATCCATATCTGTGCCCATTCCAAAGAAAAGTGATCCAACAGAATGCAGAAGTTATTGAACAATATCATTAATATCACACACAAGTAAAATTTGCTGAAGATAATTCAAAAATGGCTGCAGCAGTACATCAACAGGGAACTGTCAGAAATTCAAGCCGAATTCAGAAGAGGACATGGAATGAGGAATAGCATTGCTGATGTCAGATGGATCATAACTGAAAGCAGAGAATACCAGAAAGATATTTACCTGTATTTTATTGACTATGCAAAGGCATTAGACTGTGTGGATCATAACAAATTATGGATAACATTTCAAATAATGGGAATTTCAGAACACTTAATAGTGCTCAGGAGGAACCTGTACATAGACCAAGTCAAGAAAGGTGTGCATTAGGGTTGTATGCTTTCATCATACTTATTCAATTTGTATGCTGAGCGAGTAATCCAAGAAGCTGGACTACATGAAGAAGAATGGGGCATCGGGATTAGAGGAAGACTCATTAACAACCTGCAATCTGCAGATGACAAAACCTTGCTTGCTGAAAGTGAAGAAAACTTGAAGCGCTTACTCATGAACAGCAAAGACTACAGCCTTCAGTATGGATTGCACCTCAACATAAAGAAAACAAAAATCCTCACAACTGGACCAATAAGCAACATCATGATAAAAGGAGACAATATTGAATTTGTCAAGGATTTCATTTTACTTGGATCCACAATCAACGCCCATGGAAGCAGCAGTCAAGAAATCATATGACACATCGCATTGGGCAAATCTGCTGCAAAATACCTCTTTAAAGTGTTAAAAAGCAAAGACGTCACTTTGAGATGTGCCTGACCCAAGCCATGGTATTTTCAATTACCTCAGATGCGTGTGAAAGCTGGACTGTGAATAAGAAGACTGAAGAGAATTGATGCCTTTGAATTACGATATTGGCAAAGAATATTGAATTTACCATGACTGCCAGAAGAACAAACAAATCTGTCTTGGAGGAAATACAGCCAGAATTCTCCTCAGAAGGAAGGATGGCAAGACTTCATCTCATGTACTTTGGACGTGTTATCAGGAGGAACCCATCACTGGAGAAGGAC